CACACAGTTTATGTAGTTTCCACACAGTGTATGTAGTTCACATGTAGTTTATTTAGTTCCCACACAGTGTATGTAGTATCCACATAATTTATGTAATTCCCACACTGTATGTAATTACCCTACAGTGTATGTAGTAACCACACTGTATGTAATTACCCCACAGTGTATGTAGTAACCACACTGTATGTAATTACCCCACAGTGTATGTAGTACCCACCACCACACTGTAATTACCCCACAGTGTATGTAGTAACCACACTGTATGTAATTACCCCACAGTGTATGTAGTAACCACACTGTATGTAATTACCCCACAGTGTATGTAGTAACCACACTGTATGTAATTACCCCACAGTGTATGTAGTAACCACACTGTATGTAATTACCCCACAGTGTATGTAGTTCCCACACTGTATGGAATTACCCCACAGTGTATGTAGTAACCACAGTGCATGTAGTAACCACACTGTAATTACCCCACAGTGTATGTAGTAACCACACTATGTAATTACCCCACAGTGCATGTATGTAGTAACCACACGGTATGTAATTACCCCACAGTGTATGTAGTAACCACACTGTATGCAATTACCCCACAGTGTATGTAGTAACCACACGGTATGTAATTACCCCACAGTGTATGTAGTAACCACACTGTATGTAATTACCCCACAGTGTATGTAGTAACCACACTGTATGTAATTACCCCACAGTGTATGTAGTTCCCACACTGTATGTAATTACCCCACAGTGTATGTAGTAACCACAGTGCATGTGGTAACCACACTGTATGTAATTACCCCACAGTGTATGTAGTAACCACACGGTATGTAATTACCCCACAGTGTATGTAGTAACCACACTGTATGTAATTACCCCACAGTGTATATTGTTCCCACACACACAAGTTATTCCCAAACAACGTCCTTCCGTTCGTACATCATGTATGTACGCTTCTTAAATGAGGATGTAGTATCCCTAAAATAAATGAAAACTTCTGATAGACTGCGATGTTTGCCGTAACTAGCATGTCTAAACAGCGAATGTAGTCACTGAATTATACATACAGTTCCCAAAAAATGTATATCGTTCCTTAAAATTGTTTGTAATTCCAAAATGGTGTATATAGTTCTTAATAGTGTATGTGTCACGAACGCAGGTACATCTTTTTGTTAATGTGAAAGGTGAGTGAATTAGTCATGTGTGCGCGTGTGTGTACGGGTGAGGAAGGACGGGTAGTGCATGGGCTGGACAGGTGAAAGGTATGGCAGAGCTGTTTATTATTATTTTCCCGGCCATAATTCGTGTGTCATGAAGCCCAGATATCTGACTGGGGTAAGTATTCTTTCTATCTTTCATAAATTGTTGTTTAGTGGCTATTTCGTGCCATATTTTAATTGTCCCTATTGCCGGTCAACCAATCTATCGATGCGTGTCCACTCGAGCGTAACTATTTGCTGTTATAGTATACAGGTGTGTTGGTTTTAAATTTCATAATTAACAGTATTAGGCAATTAGGATTTATGTGGTATTATAGTAAAGTAATGTGTTGATATGTACAAGTAATTCAGTTGCCTTTAAGCGTAAATTTCGCTTAGTAACGTTATCCCCCCACCCCCATCTATGGAAGAAGTAGTTGTATTTACCTGTACAAGGGTTGAATGCGTGCGAGTGTAAAAAGTACGGAAGCCACTCAGTAGCATATATGGTTGCGGTGATACGTGCGTTTTGGCATTATTATCATAAGAAAATGGTCACGTATCCTAGAATTTAATATGTTTGTAGGGCTGTATGTACAATTAGGTTTAGCATTTATAAAGGGAAGTAGAATTGATGGTAAATTATATAGTTAGTTAAGGAATGTCTTAGTTGGATTAAAGTATGGATGTGCGTGAGTGTTTATGATATTTTGTCATGTTTATTATAGCTTCACACGACGGGCAGACAACCAAGTTAGGCTACCCAAACCCTGCAAAGACTGCAACAGCCTGGTATGCAACGGGACCGGCCAGCATTGCAACAGCAACTACCAGGGGCACGGTCAGCTACCAGGACGTTCGGACAAGACGTCAGGCAGGCTATGCAGGCAGTGTTGATGTTGGAGATCCTGGTCTGATGTTGGAGATCCTGGTCTGAGAGGGACCAGTGATGCTGATAGGCATATGCTTTATTCTATTTATTGTGTTAGCCGTGGGCTAAATTTTGTATGCATTTTGTGCGCTGGGTGACTGTATTTCCTCGGAGAAATGTGAAAAGACTCACAGTGTGTGAAGAGACTGTAGTATTACATTTAGAGGCGTGGAAGATAGAGTGGGTGAATGCGAGTGTGTTATTGTCTATATTTAGTGTATGTAGTGTAAATAAACTTGTATATATCTGTATTGCACTATCTCTTGTGGTTTTTTCCCGTTAGTGCTGAACTGAGGCTCGTCCCGCGTTACAGTATGCAATTCCCAAACTACGTTGATTTTAGAACGCCAAAGAACAATACAGTGTCCAAACAATGCAGTGTTCAAACAATACAGTGTCCAAACAATGCAGTGTTCAAACAATACAGTGTCCAAACAATACTGTGTCCAAACAATACAGTGTCCAAACAATGCAGTGTTCAAACAATGCAGTGTCCAAACAATACAGTGTCCAAACAATACAGTGTCCAAACAATACAGTGTCCAAACAATGCAGTGTTCAAACAATACAGTGTCCAAACAATGCAGTGTTCAAACAATACAGTGTCCAAACAATACAGTGTCCAAACAATACTGTGTCCAAGCAATACAGTGTCCAAACAATACAGTGTCCAAACAATTCAGTGTTCAAACAATACAGTGTCCAAACAATACTGTGTCCAAACAATACAGTGTCCAAACAATGCAGTAAACAATACTGTGTCCAAACAATAGTGTCCAAACAATACTGTGTCCAAACAATGCAGTGTCCAAACAATACAGTGTCCAAACAATGCAGTGTTAAAACAATACAGTGTTAAAACAATACAGTGTCAAAACAATACAGTGTCCAAACAATTCAGTGTTCAAACAATACAGTGTCCAAACAATACTGTGTCCAAACAATGCAGTCTTCAAACAATGCAGTGTTCAAACAATACAGTGTCCAAACAATTCAGTGTTCAAACAATACAGTGTCCAAACAATGCAGTAAACAATGCAGTGTCCAAACAATACAGTGTTCAAACAATACAGTGTCCAAACAATACAGTGTCCAAACAATACAGTGTCCAAACAATACTGTGTCCAAGCAATACAGTGTCCAAACAATACAGTGTCGAAACAATGCAGTGTTCAAACAATACAGTGTCCAAACAATGCAGTGTCCAAACAATACAGTGTCCAAACAATTCAGTTTTCAAACAATACAGTGTCCAAACAATACTGTGTCCAAACAATGCAGTCTTCAAACAATGCAGTGTTCAAACAATACAGTGTCCAAACAATACAGTGTCCAAACAATGCAGTGTCCAAATTTTTAATGTTGTTTCAAAACAATTAATGTCGTTATGAAACCATATATGTAGGTTCTTCAAATTGTACAAAAGATAAACAAGTAAATTAACACTTTTAGAACACAATCTAAAATTACACACAGTAGAGCAAAAATAATTAAGTAAATTTCCATCAAGCAGCTGTTTCGTCCGTCAAAGATTCGACATTAGTGCTAAGGGCCTATATGAGACTAGGAGATGATTGAGAAAAACCAAATTTTATCGAAAGAAATGTTAAAATGCAGATGGGGATAGACAAACCTCATGCAATGAATTGTGGCGTGCAGTTACGGCAAATCACTGGGACTATAAGTCCACCAGTAGTGTCTACCTTCTACAATTTCTGCGAGTTTCCAACAACCCTTCACTTTAGTTGAGTTGAATTCGAGACTGGATGCTTTTAACACCAACAATACCGGAATACACCAGAAGTCGGTTTAAGTGAAATTTCCGCCATACTTTCAAAGCATAAACATCCCTGTAATATCATTAGGTAGGATAGAACCTCTCCTCTCCGTGATATGGTGAAAATGGTAGGATATAGCCTTAATCTTGTATATTTAAGTAAGGTATGATATAGCCTTAATTTTGTATATCTAAGTAAGGTATGATATAGCCTTAATTCTCCGTGACCTAGTAATGTATGATACAGACTTAATTACCCTCAGTAATCAGATATATCATCATGTTGAGTTTATGGTTTTCTTCACTAACATTAAAAACGCGACCGAAAAATTAATTATACACTGTATTTAGTTTCCACCAAATGCACGGATTTGATCTAACTACACCCTAGCATTTCAGCTCCCCTGATTCTTTATCAAACCTAACGGCATTATTTGTAATTATGAAAGAAATTGATTATTTTAAAATGGTTGATATGGATGATACAAAAATCTCTAAATGACATTGACCGCATTGATAACTGTACGAATTACAAAGTCCTGTCCAAACCATCGCTACACGAGGTAACACCCGTCCTATATTTTATCTGTCGTTATCTTGTTGTAACAACCTGTACTATTCTCTATAATGTTTTATCTGGGTGAAGAGCATGTGCTTCATTAAAAACAAATAACAAATCTTGCTACAACTAAATACTGCGGATGGAAGCTTCTTAGTATTATTAAATTTATTTCGAAATATTGACAAAGGTAACAGAATATGTCACAATTCTGAAAGATGGGTTCATGTAATCAATTATTAAATGTCTGCTTTTACGTATACCACCGGTACAGACATTCTCCCATGGAATGTCCGGGAATCACCACCGGTATAGATATTCTCCCATGGAATGCCCGGGAATCACAACCGGTATAGACATTCTCCAATCGAATTCCCGGGAACCACCACCAGTATAGACATTCTCCATGGAATGCCCGGAAATCACCACCGGTATAGTCATTCTCCCATGAAATGTCTTGGAATCACCACCGGTATAGACATTCTTCAATGGAATGTCCGGAAATCACAACCGGTATAGACATTCTCCAATGGAATGCCGGGGAACAACCACCGGTTTAGACATTCTCCCATGGAATGCCCGGGAACAAACAGCGGTGTAGTAGACATTTTCCACAGGAGCTTCGAAATTCCCAAAGCCCATATAGAATCAACTGCATCGGCGACGTCGAAGAAAGGAAAGGCAAAGACACCCAAGAAAGCAGCTACCAAGAAAACCACGGAGAAGAAACCAGCCAAGAAAACTACCAAGCCCAAGACCCCTAAGAAAAAGGCTGCCAAGTCTCCGAAGAAAGCTAAGACAGACAAGCCTAAGAAAGCTAAGGCTGCAAAAAAGTAAGATGTATATCTTCCACTGTCCGAACGACACGCACGTAAACAGTCCTTTTTAGGACTACCCACATGTCACGAAAATCATCCAATTACGCCTCGAAAAATACGCAAAACGCACTAATCCTAATTTCTTATAATTGACCAACGAACAAACCAATAACACCCTCCCCACCTTCCCGAAAGGAAAGGAAAGCCACCTTCCCACCCCCTACCCCACGGGACTACTTCACATCACACACTTTTTTGTTATAAACAATTACCCCATCCCCACAGATTCATTGCATCAAACAACACATTTTAAATTATAATAATATGTAATAATAGTAATACCTGTTACAAGTACACACGCACGCCCGGCCCCGCCCATTTATGATCAGCTGAATGAATTTAAATTATATAAACGTTAAACCAACAGTTAATACACCAACAAGCTGACACGGTATCAGTTTATTAGTTAGTACTACGCATGTAAAATCTTAACTTGCCACTTTCAACAAACAATCATTTCATATATGAAATAATGGTAATGCTTATGTGGAAACTAGTGAAAACAATTTAAAATCATACTCTGAAATTGAGACAGTTTCCGTTTTACAATTTTTTTACAAAATAGTTGAATTTATAAAAAAAATTTAAACAGGTGGTATCATTCCAATTTCACATATTTCAATTTTACTCGTTTTCACTGCCGTGCACGTGGGCACGTTGTCGTGTATACCTGTGTACGTATGTGTATAGTGCACGATCAAATGTAGCTATCGTCGTCGTCTATACGATAGAGAATTATCCTTAATATCAAGTTGTTCTGACTCAAGTTTCTAAAGTATAAATTTAACCCAGAATGTATAAAATGGATGTATGAGGCCAACATATTTATTGCGAAAGGCCGAGTCCGGGGCTCCAACCACTGCATTTACAAAACAATAAAATAAAATCTTATTCTTCTCTCTGTCTCTGTCACTCTCTGTCTCTCTCTCTCTCTCTCTCTCTCTCTCTCTCTCTCTCTCTCTCTCTCTCTCTCTCTCTCTCTCTGTGTGTTGTATATTTCTCTCTCACTCACACTCTCTCTCTCTCTCTCTCACTCTCACACACACACACACACACACACACTCACTCACTCACTCACTCACTCACACACACACACACACACACACACACACACACACACACACACACACACACACACACACACACACACACACACACACACACACACACACACACACACACATATATATATATAAACACACACCCTTATACATACACACGATTTCTTTTTGGGAGGAATTTCTGGTTTGATATCTAGACACATGATTATCTATATGTTTAGAGTCGAGTTCAAGACGTATGAAATCAATATAGTAATTGGAAGGGAATAATTCAATTCATATTTGCATATAACATATTCAAAATGTGATATTTGTAAGCAATTAAATTCGATAATCGAATCGAAAATGGTTCAGACTATGGATTGAGATTAAGTATAGCAGGAATTCGATAAATGTGCTTCCATTCACAAATACTATTTATTACCATATACACAGTGAACATGTATATATTGGGAAACCAAATAGATAGTGTGTTTATGAAACTTACGTATACATAACCGATTTAAATTTTGAAACGGACTTACAGAAAACAGATCTGACGTCAGCGTCAGACAACAGATCGAAGAAGCACGTCCAGACAATCCGAAGATGGCACGTCAGACAGACAGATCCAGTGATGAAGTCTGAAGGAACGTGGAGGCTCGTCCTGCCAGAACAATGACGTTCGTCAGTGAGACGATACCCGGACACAGGAGGAGACGGAAAACCTGTCAACCAACCAAAAAACAAACCATCGGTCGGGGCACCTCTCACCTGATCCCAACAGATCGTCACGTCAGACAACAGATCGATAGACGTCACGTCACACAACAGATCGATAGACGTCACGACAGACAACAGATCGATAGACGTCACGTCAGACAACAGATCGATAGACGTCACGTCAGACAACAGATCGACAGAAGTCACGTCAGACAACAGATCGACAGACGTCACGTCAGACAACAGATCGACAGACGTCACGTCAGACAACAGATCGATAGACGTCACGTCAGACAACAGATCGATAGACGTCACGTCAGACAACAGATCGATAGACGTCACGTCAGACAACAGATCGATAGAATTCACGTCAGACAACAGATCAATAGACGTCACGTCAGACAACAGATCGATAGACGTCACGTCAGACAACAGATCGACAGACGTCACGTCAGACAACAGATCGACAGACGTCACGTCAGACAACAGATCGACAGACGTCACGTCAGACAACAGATCGATAGACGTCACATCAGACAACAGATCGACAGAAGTCACGTCAGACAACAGATCGATAGACGTCACGTCAGACAACAGATAGACGTCACATCAGACAACAGATCGATAGACGTCACGTCAGACAACAGGTCAATAGACGTCACGTCAAACAACAGATCAATAGACGTTACGTCAGACAACAGATCGATAGACGTCACGTCTGACAACAGATCTACAGACGTCACGTCAGACAACAGATAGACGTCACGTCAGACAACAGATCGATAGACGTCACGTCACACAACAGATCGATAGACGTCACGACAGACAACAGATCGATAGACGTCACGTCAGACAACAGATCAATAGACGTCACGTCAAACAACAGATCAATAGACGTTACGTCAGACAACAGATCGGTAGACGTCACGTCTGACAACAGATTGAAAGACGTCACGATCGACAGACAACAGATCGATAGACGTCACGTCAGACAACAGAACGATAGACGTCACGTCAGACAACAGATCGATAGACGTCACCAGATCGATAGAAAACAGACAACAGGTAAGACACTAACATTTTCTCTTGGTCTCCACTAATATACCGATTTATATACACGTGTGTTTAATGGAACATGTCAACGTTCTAAAACCTATTCCCCGGGAATTATAGAGCCATACGGAAGAAAAGATAGGAATGGGGCAGTAACGGATAAACAGTGCCCTGCAGGTACCCCCAGGCACTTTGAAGGGCAACAGGCTTAGCAAACTTCAAAGGACAAAAATGACATTCGTCCTTCTGTTTTCCAACACACCCACGCCACCACTCACTATTACAGGCTGACACAAAACACTACAGGTGGCTCCTTTTAGAACAACAAAACCAAACAGACCCGCCAAATAAAAACAGACTGTACAACCCTCAGTCAACATTTAAAAAAACATACGCCGGGATGATAACGAGTAAACCTGTCCCCAAAAATGCCATCAACACTACAATCATTAACGGCTCCATACCAATTTCAAATCACACTAGCTGAAACACGAATCGGACAGGAGCCAGTGACAAAACAACAATACATAAACACAGTTATTGACAGCACTGGCCAAACTCGACAATAATCCTGTCCAATCATTAGAAACATTCAATTCTGTACTAAAAGAAGAGCTAGTTTAAGGTTTAGACGAATCAAACATATAACCGGAAGTACAAAATATATTAGACACACCCACTTCCGGACAAAGCTGCTCCACAATACACCCACCATTCAAAACCTATAATAGAAACTCCAAAAACACAACCACCATCACCTGTAGTAGTTAGCTCCCCTACCACAAAAGAAACACAACTTGGGTACTACTTGAATCCAAAAACGTAAGTTAATATACTGACAGGAAAATAAACGCAATTAGCAGAAAGTTAATATTGTAAATTAAATCCCTGACGTACACCCTTGAAACTTGACAAATGTGTGCATTTGAGGTAGGTCCCTATGGTACCGTATTAAAATTACTGATGCATAACAAAACTGCGCACCTCGCTTGTACAAAAGAATAAGAGACAAGAGCACGATATCTCGAACCCAGTATAAAGAATTGGTATAAAATATGTGTGTGCGAATCTTCAGACATATCCGTCTTGATTTCCCACATTTTAAGCATAAACAGTTCACCGTAAAAAATGCCACGACTGTCCGAAGTTGACAGGGGTCGTGTCATTGCACTTCTTATGCAAAATCAGGTCGCTAATCAAGTTGGAGTAAATCCATCGAACAGTTGCCGTCTCATCCAAAGACAACATGCCACCGGAAGGGTTGCAGACCGTCCCCGAAGCAGTCGCCCTCGTGTGACGACGCGTCGGCAGGATAGGGCAATGCGACTTTCGCACCTACGCAATCGCTTTCTGACGGAAACAGCAAGGAACACAACTGGGGGTCATCATGTTCCAATTGATCCAAAGACAATGCGTTATCGACTGCGTGCCTTCGGTCTAAGACCGCGTCGGCCATATGTTGGACCAAAGCTTAATGCGCGGCGACGTGCCAGACGAATGCAATGGATGAACGCATATTCCGTAAGACGCTTCTCAATGCAACGTTGGAGAAGGGTCCTGTTCTCAGATGAGTCCAGGTTTTCGCTTTACCGGGCAGACGGCCGACGTCGTGTCTATATAAAAAAGACGTACCCACGAGCGCTATGCAGACGCTTTGGAGGAGGATCGGTCATGGTATGGAGAGGGATTGCGCATGTTATCAAGACTCCTCTGGTCGTTATTCGGAAAAATCTCACGGCCGTCCGCTATAGAGATCAAGTCCTAACGCCGCATGTTGTTCCTCTAGTACAGCAGCATCAACTGACGTTTCAACAGGACGACACACGCCCGCATGTAGCGAGGGTTTGCCGTGGCTATCTCTCAGCAAACAATGTCCACACCCGAGACTGGCCCCCATACAGCCCTGACCTCTCCACAATAGAACATTTATGGGACCAGTTGGACACACGATATTGATGGGTCCAGAACGCACTTCATTTTGAGTGGGGTACTCTTGAATCAACGTCATATTCGAAAGGTTTACTTAACGTACACGAATGAAATTCTCGTAGATGACAGAGTGGTCAACTATCTTCCAGTTACACCATAATTACATTCTTAAACCCTTTTCTATTTCCCGTAGTTGACCTGGAAATTTCTAATT